CAAGGCTCAGGGGTCCAAGATTATCTTCTGTGTCTGTGTTAATTGGTTTCCCTTTTCTTTGTTGAAGAGGGTCTGTGCAATCCTTCTGCCTAGTCTGCCATCTTGCCCCGCCTCCCTGAATTATTCAGTATCCCCTTATTCTGCTTGATCAACTGCCTCTTGGTCTGTGTACAGGTTCCTCATAAGCACAATAAAGTGTTCTGGAATTCCCATTTGTTTTGGTTACTTTGTGTTGCTCTAACAGAAAATACACTAATGGGTGGCTTAAACAAACAAATTTATTCTTGTACAGTTTTGGAAGCTAGTAGTCGGTTCAGAATGCCAAGTTCTAGGGGCTGGGTAAAAGCCCCTTGACCTTGGGCTTTAACTATGCCTCTTGCTCCTGGCCCACTGAAGCTGGAGACTTTTCTTAACTCAGGCAGCTGCTGGCTGCTGAGGCTGACAAACGCAGGGTCAACAAGTGAAAAGGCACAGCCTCAGTATTACCAAACAACACACAGCAAACCACAAGTTCAAGTCCAGAGACAGTCCCAGGATCAGCAGGAAACATGTCAGGCTGCGAAATGAAAACTCAGTTACAAGCAGAGTCCAACCATGCCCAGAACTGCAGACCATTCCCAAAGCTGCTGTTTATATACTAGAAGCAGACCACATCCCTAAGGCAGCTACTCAGCTGCTCCAGTAGATTCCCCCATTGAATTGATTACCAGTCTCACCATGGTAAATAACTGCATCCAGCTGCCCAGCTACTCAAAACCAGGCCCAGCCAAGTTGGCACATAACCTTAACTACCACATCATTCTGTTGTCTGTAAAATTTGTTATGATCCACACAGTTCATTGCCTTTGCATAGTCAATAAAACACAGTTAAACATCTTTCTGGTGTTTTTTGTTTTCAGCTAAGATTCATCTGACATCAGTAATAATATCCCTCATTCCATGTCCTAAATCTAGATTGCATGTTTGGAAGTTCCTTTCGATGTATTGCTGCAACTGTTTTTGAATTTCTTCAGCAGAATTTTAACTTGTGTCTTATTAATGATATTATTAAGTAATTTCTACATACTGTTGGATTACATTTCTCTGGAATGGGTACAAATATGGACCTCTTCCACTTGGTTGTCCAGGTAGCTGTCTTCCAAATTTCCTGGCATAAACAAGTAAGCACCTCCAGCACTGTATCCTTTTGTTGAACCATCACAAGGCATATTATGCCAGTTGGTAGAGCCTTGTTTTTTTGTCAGTTCCTTCAGTGCAGCTTGGACTTCTTCCTTCAGTACCTTTGGTTCTTGATCATATGCATTGAACATTGACCAATTCTTCTTGGTATAATGACCCTGTATATTCTTTCCATCTTCTTTTTTATTTATCCTGCATCATTCAATATTTACTCCATAGAATCATTCAATGAAGCAATAGGCCCTAGAATCTTTATTTTTTATTTTTAATAATCTGTAGGAGATTTTATTGCCCTTGGTGTTCCTGAAAGCAGTTGGGTGGGAACCACTCTCTTGTGAGATAAAGTTCACACTTCTTTGTATAACATTCAAGGGTATTGTACAATCAAACTTTAGTCATTCTTAATTATCTCTCATTCTCCTTTAGGTATCCTGCTCTTTGACTATACTGAATTATAAAGATACTGAGACATCATTTTATTTCTTAACTCTAGAATACCCTTTCTGTGCTTCACTACCTAATGTAACCTCATTCCTCTCTTTAGATCTGAATCCAGGCTTTGCTGTTCCTACTCCTCCACACCCCTCATTTTTACATCTTTACTGTCATAACAGCTTTACTGGTTTACCCTGTATCTTATATGTTTTTCTGTCATTTTCATTTGTTAATGTGTAATTTACATATAATAAAATTCACCATTTTCAGGGGTACAATTGGATGACTTTTGACTAATGTATATATTTGTAACTATTGCCAAAGTCAGCCCCAGGGTTACAGGTGAGGAGAGACAACTCAGGGACGCCCAGAGTAGCAGGCTGGAAGAGCAGGAGAAAGGGGGGATAAAAGTCAGGAACCCGGACAGAGGAGCATTCAGCCCCAGGGACAACTCAGGGATGCCCAAAGCAGCAGGCCAGAAGAGCAGGAGAAAGGGGATTAAAAGCCAGAAAGCCAAACAGAGGTACAGTCAGCCACAGGGACCCAGGTGGGGGGGATACGAGAGGTCTCCAACAGCAAGACAAACTTGTCGGTTGGTTTGTCCTACTGTCGTGACATGTAGATGTGAATTTTGAGGCTGAGCCTCTGGTGTTTAAAACCCAGCGAGATGCACCTGGTGCACAGGTAACAGCCCAGCTTATAGACTGAGACAGACTAGGAAGAAGGAAG